GCAAAGACACAGCCTGCCGGGAAGCAGCTGAGGGGCCCCCATCGTGGCCCTGAGCCTATTTATCCTCCTGTCTGCAGAGTGGAGGGCAGGGAGTGGGTAGCAAGGTAACTGAGGGCATGCTGGGTTTGGACCCATAAACCCTGAACTCCGGTCTGCTGTGTCCATGCTGTGTGACCGTGGTGAGTCACAGTCCCTCTCTGGCCTTCAGTCGTCTCATCAGAATGGAAATCACAAGGGAGTCCTAGCTCCTGGAGGTGGTGTGAGGAGAAAGAGGCAGCTGCCCTGTCAGAAGCTGCGGAGACCCCGTCATCTTCCATCTCAGTAAGCAACCTGAGTGTTCGGTTCTAACGTGAGGGAGACGGGCTGAACATTTGCAAGGCTTCTCCCTGGGGGCTCTCTGCTTCTGTGCTCCAAGCCGCTGCTTCATTTGGAACCATGTAAGCGCTTCCCATTTAGAAATGAAAGCGCAGCTTCCTGGCCTCCCCGTCTGACCTCCTTCCTTCCCCCCATCAGAATGACTCGAAATCTTGTCTGACAGAAGGACGCTGTTTCACCCATGCGGGAGTTCAGCCCTGGCTGCAGAGGGAAGACGCTGCAGGTCCCCGGGGATGGAGAACAACATTGTACAGTGTGGTTCCTGCTGCCTGGCACCGTCTGCCTTGCACGGGGGCTGTGTCCGCTTCGAGACCCTCCCCTCCAGGGCCAGCCTATTAAGCCACTTCTCCACTGCCAGGGTTGAGGCAGGCTGTCACCAGCTAGCCCGGGAAGTGGTATTTATAGATCACAGTCCCTCCTACCATTGGTCCCCAGCCCCTCCCTGTGTGCTTGTCTGTGAGCCCCAATTATCAGTGAATGGAGAAAAGGGACCACGGCAGGTCCAGAGGAAGCAAGGAATGTGATAATAGGCCCTTCACACACTCAGACTTCCTGTATTTTTCCATTATTTCAATATATTTCTCTTCTTATGGCTCCCTTCCTTCTTCTTGCTTGCTTTATTGCTATAATTTTACCTTCTGATGCAGTATATAGTTGGAAGTGAACTTATAGCAGAGTACAGAGTCAGGCTGGGGAATGTGAGGTTACTTCATGATCTCAAACAAGTTATTTCACTTCTAAAGGTCTCATTCTTTTCATACGTGACACAGAGGTGGTTAACCATGCTACTCACAGAGGTCTGTGAAGACCCTCCAGCATCACGGTATGGGAGATGGTGAATGCTCAACGGAGACAAACCACAGACATCCCCAGTTGGCTTAGTGTGCTGCCTGTAATTAAATACTGCAGGGTGTTGGCTGTGTTACTTACTGCTCAGAGCATGGCCTGGAGATGGAGGATGTATAGGAAATTTTTCTGACTCAGGGGTTTCTAATTTTTGGAACTTGTTTGTTAAAAAGAAACACTCCCAAAGACAGGGAGAGTTTGTTTTTCTGTTCTGTTTTTTTTTTTTGTTTTGTTTTGTTTTGTTTTGTTTTTATTTTGTTTTGTTTTGAGACAGGGTCTCACTATGTAGCTGAGACTGACCTGGATTTACTTTGTAGCCAAGGCTGGTCTCGGGCTCACTGCGATCCTCCTGCCTCAGCCTCCTGAGTGCTGGGATTACAGGCGTGCACCACCACGCCTGGCTGTTTCTCTGGTTTTAATCTTCTCAGATGAAGTAGTGAAAAGCAAAGGAAGCTCACTGACCTTGGAAATCAGGACTCCTTGCTTCCATCGCAGCCACAGTGAAAGGAGGGGGGCAGATGACTAGCTCAGTCTCATTGACCCATCCAGTGTCTACGTTCCCTGAACCTGTGAGCTACAGCGGAGCCTTGGCTAAATGTCTCCATGTCTGTCCTTCACAGCCTGCTTGCGATCTATCTCGTTGGGCCCCTCTACTGGCTCCTTGGCGGCCCCTTCCTGTTCATCTTTTCCCCATCACCTTCAGCACCAAGTCCCTCCTGTTCTCTCATTATCCTTCCCTGGGTCTCTACCTTGCTCCTCTTTTCTCTTTCCCCTTTCTCTGGGCTTTGCTCCCCGGGAGTCCCAGACACCACCTCCTTTCTGAGTCTTCACGCTGTATCATTAATGCCTTCTTTGATACAGCCCACAACCTCGCGATTATTCTGAGGTCAGGAGATGCAGGTGCCACACAGCTCGCTAATGCATCTCAGAGGGCCTCTGTCCCCAATCCCTCCTGCTCGACAGGGCCAGAATCCTAATTCGCCACTAGCCCCGCTGCTTGTTGCTGCATCCCCAGAAACTTTCATCTTTTTATTCCCCCATGGAGGATTCTGAGAGTTCAGCTACAATGAAGCATTGATTCAAGGAGTGAGGGCTGCAGTCTTGACAAAGGGTCCCAATGATGAGACATGAGAAAGGGGGCGCTCTACGGGGTTATAGAATGCCTTGCAGATGGGAACAGAGGACGTCTAAATGGGGTACTGTCCTGTCACTTGGAGAGGGAGTGACAGGGGCAAGTGTGGGCCATTTGAAAGAGGCATTTTGAGATGAGGCTTTCGTCAGATGGAACCACGAAATCAGAGCTGTGTAGAAGGGCCCTGCAGCTCGCAGAAATATCAGATGACTCATCCCCCAATATTCAGTCCGTGTTCTGGTTTGGGAGGTGGGAGCCACACAGCTCATTATGATTCCAGCTCCGTTTCCTGAAGGCCGGGCCTGCTGCTGTTTTCCAGGCTGTGATAGAATTGGTCTCACGAAGCAGAGACCAGGGATGCCTGGAGCTGTGTGGGTGGATGGTATGGAAAACTAATACTGCATCCTGAGGGGAGAGATACAAGTTTATTTTTCTTTTATAAAAATAAGAACAAAAACATTAATATTCTTTGTCCATTTAATTCGGCAAACATTCATTCATTCAACAAACATTTATAGAGCTAGGCTCTGTGCTAGGTGCCTGGGGAAGGAAGGCCCTCTTGTATCAAGCCTCAGAGCCTGAAGGGGAACCTACCAAGGAAACCCGGGTCCCAATACCATGGATGTTGGGAGAGTAGGATGCTTCTATGGATTTAAAAGGAAGAGAGTTTCAAAAAGCTGATTATTCCACCATTTTCTCTGAGCTGATAAGCAATTCATTTAAAGCAAAGTATGCCAGGAAGCCATTTCAACAGTATCCATTTTCAAATGGTTTTAACAAAATGGCTTCCCTCAAACTCAGAGAGATAGTGAAATCCTTGAGAGTGTCTCAGTACCTTCAAAGGAAGAGCTTATTCTCTAGGATAAGATTTCTTATTATTACCTTTTTCATAATTGCTCTCTGCTGGGCTTTTCTAAGCGCTTAATATATTACCTCACAGAGTCCTCTCACCAGCCCAGCCACATGAGATGGGTTGTATTTCCTCATTTTAGAGGAGGCTACGGAGGCTTGAAGAGACAAAATGACTTGTTCCTGGTTACAGAATGGGGTTTTGAACTCAGTTCTTCTCCAGCCAGTATCCCTACTTTTCAGCATAAAGCTCTGCTGCCCCCTGGCTCTTAGTGTTTGTGGTTTGGTGAGCATAGCTCCTCAGAGGAAGTGATAGTACAGATGGACTGCCACAGGGGGTGCGATGCAAATCTACCTCTTGTTTCCAGCTTCCTGAAATGGAGATCATAAACCAACAGCACCGTCATCATCACCAGAAAATCACCACAGCATGTGTAGCCTTAAGAAAGGTTTGCTTGACTTCTGTGTGATGGACAATGCAAAAGGCAATAGCTCTGAGCCTAGATACCGCTCCACTCACTGGCTGTCTGACTTTGAGTCTATCACTTCATCTCGCAGCTTCTGTTACCGTGTCCATAAAACGTAGCTGACAGTCCCTTTGCAAGAATAGCAAGAGCTACGTTTTATGGCTTTCTTAATGCCTACCAAGTTTGGAGCTAAGCTTTCACATAAAAATTCATGTCACCCTCCCAACATCCCTGTGCAGCAGGAATGATTAGGAAGGTGAAGGAAACTGTCCAGTATCACTTCGGCACACACATGAAAGAGCTAGGATTTCATGCAATCTCTGACTGACCTCAAGTCCAAAGCTGTTTTCAGGGTGTTGTTAGGGTATTCAAGTGAGAAGATGGGAGTGAGTATGCTCTGCGCTGGGTGAGAAGTGCTAGACACATGTAAGGGATTGTGTTTGTGGCGTGGAAGATAGCCGAGAGGTGACTTGCACAGAAATGAGGAAGGATGCGATCTTCCAGGAGGCTTGCTGCCTTTCATATTTTTACCTTTTCTTCTGTTGTCTCTTATTTAATTAAGTATCCGTCTTCATTGGAATGTTTCAGTGTCTGGATTCTGGGTACAGACTTCGGTATCATTTATAGAGTCCAGGGATCCATGGGGAGGGCGGCCTAGAGCTACATTTGCAAAGAACTGCCACTGATTTGAGAGTCGGGTGCTGTGGGAAAATGAGCTCTTTTTTTATACGTTTTGAAAAACTATGTGAATGTCATGTAGGATCACCAGTATGGAAGCGCTTTATTATTTCCAGTATATGATAAAGTACAATTTGTTTCTGTGGATGTTGTTGGGTATTATATAGCAGCCTCAGTGGAGGAGTGTGTGTAATGTCATATAATGTAGATTAAAAGAAATAAACTGTAAGGTCTATTTTATTGCTACATTTTTACCAACTTGTGGCCACCCAGAAGGAATATTTATGTTTAAACACTTATTTCTTAATCTTCTGTAGAAGTTAATAATACGATGTTACAGTGTCCTAACTGCAGTCACAGGGCTGGAAGGATCCCCACCCTCCCAAACATTTACTCCAGCCTTTTCTCTGGACGGGTGAAGACATTAAACGTTACAAGAGTAAAGTACAATGTAACACAGCTGGTTTGCGGCGTTGCAAGGAGTTAGACCAGAATGAAGTTCTTCACATTTACATAGTCTTCCTTATTCCAAGTGCCCCAATGTGTCCTTTTATTGTTTTGGGCAGCACCAGTTTGCCGCATCAGTTGTGTAGAGCAAGTCACAGCCCCACCCATGATGGTAAACTCTCTCTATTCTCCCTCTGTACCCCCAGGACAATTCAGCAGTGGCTTGCAAGGGTCCAATCGCTTCTCTACTGCAATGAGAATGGGTTTTGGGGAACCTTCCTGGAGAGCCAGCGGAGCTGTGTGTGCCATGGCAGTACCACCCTGTGCCAGCGCCCCATACCCTGCATCATAGGCGGGAACAACAGCTGTGCCATGTGCAGTCTGGCTAACATCTCCCTCTGCGGGTCCTGCAACAAGGGCTACAAGCTGTACCGAGGCCGCTGCGAGCCCCAGAACGTGGACTCTGAGCGCAGCGAGCAGTTCATCAGCTTCGAGACCGACCTGGACTTCCAGGACCTGGAGTTGAAGTACCTGTTGCAGAAGATGGACTCGCGTCTCTACGTCCACACCACCTTCATCAGCAATGAAATCCGCCTGGACACCTTCTTCGACCCTCGGTGGCGCAAGCGCATGTCCCTCACTCTCAAGAGCAACAAGAACCGCATGGACTTCATCCACATGGTAATTGGTATGTCCATGCGCATCTGCCAGATGCGTAACAGCAGCCTGGACCCCATGTTCTTTGTCTATGTCAATCCCTTCAGCGGGAGCCACTCGGAGGGCTGGAACATGCCTTTTGGGGAATTTGGCTACCCGCGTTGGGAGAAGATCCGTCTCCAAAACAGCCAATGCTACAACTGGACTCTCTTGCTGGGGAATCGGTGGAAAACGTTTTTCGAGACAGTCCACATCTACCTACGAAGTCGGACTCGGCTACCTACCCTTCTGCGTAATGAGACTGGCCAGGGCCCCGTGGACCTGTCTGACCCTTCCAAGAGGCAATTCTACATCAAGATCTCGGATGTGCAAGTGTTCGGGTACAGCCTGAGGTTCAACGCCGACCTTCTCCGCAGTGCCGTGCAGCAGGTCAACCAGTCCTACACACAAGGCGGCCAGTTCTATTCCTCTTCATCCGTGATGCTCCTCTTGCTGGATATTCGGGACCGAATTAATCGTCTGGCTCCTCCTGTGGCCCCGGGGAAGCCCCAACTGGACTTGTTCTCCTGTATGCTGAAACACCGCCTGAAACTCACCAACAGCGAGATCATCAGGGTGAACCACGCCTTGGATCTCTACAACACCGAGATCCTCAAACAGTCGGACCAGATGACAGCCAAACTCTGCTAACCCGGGACTCCTAGCCATGGACTTTCCCCTTTGTTGTACAAAACACAACTGGACAAAACAAAGTAAAACAAAGTGAAACACAAAAATTTGTAAAGTATAATTAATATTAAAAAAAACGGGAGGAAAAACATCTTCATTTGTTGGAAATGAAACGTTCTAGCAACTGTATAAAACCGTTGGGCATGTTTGTTATTTCTATACTCTGCCATGAAGAAGGGTCTCAGCCTTTATGGAGTTTTGAGGGAGTTGCTTTGTAGGCCTCAGGTGCTGTATGGAGGGGGGAGAGGGGGAGAGCATATGCAATGAATTGTAGAGATCTCTGCTGTGCAGGTGCTAAGATTAAACACTAAAGAGAGAGAGAGATATATGTAATGTACAATTGACACTGCCATTTTTCCTTGTGGGAGGAAATGGACATAGATAAAGAAGATATTTCTTCGGTTAAGTTTTATTCCCTCTGTATGCTTCATCCTTGTGGTTCCTTTGACTCAAGTCTCCAACAAGGGTGGGTACACGATGGATGACATTCTCTTCTTTTCTTCTCAATAAACCAAACTGAATGGAAGGTGACCAGTAGGTGGGGTTGTGAGGAGACACATTCACATAATCACAGGACAGTAAGTGACCTTAGGTGTCAACTCATCAGACTTCTTAGCCGGAGAGATAGGCTAAGAGAAGGATACCACGCCCATGGTTTTCCCCTCAGTTACTGCCTGAATGTGGACCTGAATCCTATCTTCTGACTCCCTTAATAATGTGCCTTCTTTTGAATCACGCTGGCCACTTTCATATTTTCCCCTCCAACAAAGCCGCCAAGGGACTAAGTATTTTCCTGAGGTTGTTTTGATAGTTGTTTTGTGTGTGTGAAGAACTTCCTCCCACCCACTTTCTCTGAAGGAAAGAGCCTAGTGTCAGATTTCCTAGAAATGCTTTCCATATTAAAGATAAAGTCTTAGTCTGAATAAAATCAGTAAACAAAAGTTTAAAAAAATAAGGCAAGTTTTAGTATTGCATTGATGTACCATTTTCTACAAGACAGACTTTTCAGCTAAGTCAAAGAATTATCACTGTATTAACTCATGCAGGCATATGTATGTGTCCACCCATACGGCAATATAAGCATGGCCATCTTGGGGGCGGGCATGTGAAAAGTAAGAAGCCTTCTGGGGCACTTAAGGTTAAATTAGAGAAAGCTCACCTCAAAGTACCTCTCCAAAGGATTTTCACAGACATTGCTTCAAGTTTCTAGAAACCCAGAATTTATCTTTTTACTGGGTGGCACTTGGGAAAGGTGCTTCCTAGCCATCTGGACCTCATTTCTGCATTGGCAGTGAGATGCAGCATTACAAAAATTTAGGGTTGGGAAGAGAATATAGAATTATTTTGGTCTAAGATTCTGCTCAGTGCACATCTCCTCTTCATCATTGTTGGAAATTGGCCACTCTTCACTGATTGGACTACTGCAGGACAGAAAGCTAATTAGTTCTATTTTCTGCTTTCCTTTGATTCTTTAACAGAAGGAAAGCAAAAACCCCATTCAGCTTACATTATCACACAGATGTAGTGATTAGAATACCTTTCCATACTTTGACCAGCCAGCCTTTCATGGTTTCATCTACAGGCTTTAGTTCTGGGATTGCATCTCCCCCCTCATACTAATATCCTAGATGAAATACAGGATTGAATTTAGAGGCCAGGGTCTGTGATAGGACATATGAGTGAACACTATCCCTGATTTACTTTAAGACTTAAGGAAAAGTTCTCAGTACATAAGCGGTGACGAACTACCTAGCTTCCCTAAGTGTGGATGTAGGAAAGATAATTTTCTTTGCTGCAATGGTAAACTCTGGCTTATGTGTGTGTTTTTAGTATGGATAAGCATATATTTTATACCAACTTCTTCAATGGTTGGCATGCACTTTACACTTCTGTGGGTTCTAGACCTCAGCTTTTAAAACTGTTATTTTTCATGTAGTCTGGAAATCCCTCTTGCCAGACGTCACAGTACAGCTTGGTTCATCCACCACAAGGAGATTTTGCAGGAGTCCAGCAAATCATCAAACGTTTCTTAAGCAACTAACAGATGAATGGAGAGTGTCGGAAACGTAAATATTTGTAAGTAAATGATCCACACTTATGTACCACTCAGAAATTAATGAAAATGAGAAATACAAATAAATTTGAGAAACAATAATTACAGTACATCATAAGGAAGTGCTATGATGGAGTCAAGCTCAGAAAGAAGAGCCGTAAGGAAATTGTTTCCTCTGTTCGTGAGGTTGGAAAAGGCTTTAATAGAAGGGATGTATTCTTTCTGAATATTGGGAAGCCATCAGCATTTGGACAAGCAGAGAGGACAAAAATGATCAAAGGAACAGTGAAGGCAAAGCCACAAATGTGCAACTATGCCTTAGGAGGTGTAAGGGTCAGTTATGACAATTTTTAAAATGTCATTGAAACCTACTTCTGTTTAGAGTCAATTCTAGATGAATTCAGGTGGAAACAAACATCCATAATCTCTAGGATCTGAGCGACGCGCTTCAGGCTGCTTTACTGTCGCCCCACCTGCTCTTCATGGCGACTTCCAACCTTCCGTGGGCTCCGCATGCAATGGCCCTTCGTACCTCCACAGCACTGCGTCGCCTAATCTTTGTCATAATTAAATGGGGACCTTTAAACTGAATCCTTGACCAGACTTTACCATGGATGTGTGGGGAAAGCCTATGCTGTTCATTTTCATAGTATTATCTTAGCTATTTCATTAAATAGAGATAATGTAGATGTGCCTAAAGATAGGAAAGCAAAGGGAAATAGAGGAAATTTCCAGGAGAAAGACCCAGTCATCCAAAGTTTATTCTACACTAAGAGGAAAGTACATGAAAGAATGTAACATGCTGTGGATTTCCAAATGTCTTTAGCTCAGGTTTGGCTGGCCCTTTGAACTTACAAGGTTCCCTTTTTGCAGAGAGGAACAGAAGCCTAAAGCCTTCAAGTGAGATTTTAATTCAATTAGTGTCTTATCAATTTGATGCAGCAACTAAGGACCTCTAGTCTCTGATTAATATGCTGGTGCTAAGACACAAGAGTGAACAGAATGCCCATTTGGATGAGGGCTGGTAGCAAAGCATGTCATTGCCATGGAAACCACAGAAAGCCATTAATTAGCTATCAAATAAAATCATTGAAAATTCTAGACTTTGGCATATCTGCCCCCTTTAAAGAGGAGGGCAAGAAGAGGGTCACAAGAACTGTAAGACTCCTTTCCTTGATTAAAATCATAGTTGCACAGAGACAATGTGTTGCAAAGTGGGGGAAAGGTTAGTGTGTAAAACAAATGCATGGGATAGAAATTAAGCTTTGGGATTATTCAAGTCTAAGAATATAATTTGGACTCTAGAGTAGCTTGTTGTCTGTACTGATAGAATCATCTCAATGATGTTTTATTCTATTATCATTTCTATACAAAGTAATAATAATCTGGGTCCACTAGATGGTGATAAATGACTAAGGAAGATATTCTACCATCTATCAGTGGGGAGTAATTAACCTCTAAGAGATGCATATAGATAATTTTCAAATCAATACAGGAAAAATAAAAATTGAGAAACAGAAAAAGGAAAAATTAAAATAGCTGGACACATGTAAACAGGTAGAATAGTAAAACTTGCTACACAACTTATCACAATAAATGTAATTGGATAAAACTTGACTGCAAAAAACGAGAGGTTTTCAGATCATAAATTGCAAAAAAGACTGACTACAAAAAGGTCAATAAATGTATACTAGACATACCAACAAAAAGAAAGCTGTTTTAGCATTCTCAATGCAGTCAAAATAGACTAAAAGAAAAATACATTATCATGGTTAATGATGGTCAATTTATCTGAAGAATGGACAGAAGACAACACAGAGTCACAGACTCCAGGGGAAGAAAAGATCATTACGTAGAACTTCAAATTTCAGAGAAAAGTTATTCAGTTATTCTAGCAGGTTTGAATATTGACTGCGAGTAGTTTCTTTTTCACTGTCTCAAAGTGCAAAGTCATGTAGCCTAATCTCCAAACCAGGACAAGAATCAGCCCCATGACCTTTGAACTGCTGAGTTATAAGTATATAAATATATATCAGTCCTCTCTCTCTCTCTCTCTCTCTCTCTCTCTTTCTCTCTCTCTCTCCCCCACCCCCCACCACCTGGCCTCATAATCTTTTTCATCAAAAGGCATTTCTGTGATTTAGGACCAATCGATTCCTTAGAAGATTATAATGATTTTAGACTGGGTGGTCACTTTCTTGCTATGATATCAATAGCATCAATGGCTCCAGCCCTGCCAAGCAGAAATCAGGCAGAGATTGCCTGAGTGAACTCTCTTATCTTCAATATTTGTTCTCTTTCCAAACCACCATCAGAACCTGGATTTAGAAGCATAAGGTCATTCTTCACTTTTTGATATCTGGTGGTCTGTGGACATTCTGAGTTAAGATATATGATACACTTTCTGATTCTCTTGACTTGGAATCCTCCAACCCTCTCAACAAACCTGCCAATGAAAATCACGCCAAGAATAAAATAGAATAAATTTGCATCTAAGCCAGGAAATAATGTCGTGTATTACATAAACATATCCAATAGTATATTTTGGAGTAAATAGAATCTCTTTAACCTTACTTAATTTACAGGGTGGTGCACATCTCTTTGAGAAGCATGAAAGCTCTGGTCTTTTCCCAGTAAAAATATACCCTCACATACACTTTTGAACAATATCTCTTGATCTCTTGACTATTTCTAAATGCTACAAATCTTGAGTAAGTATCTCTGAACTTGTCTAAACCATGAGTTTACCTCCCTTTTAAGTATCTCAGAAGAGATTGTCCTAGGATCACATATCAAATTAATGTAGTTTGTAAAGCTTCATCCTGCCCTCAAGAAGTCTTTATAAAATGACAAATCTCTTCATAAGAATGGTAGTTATGGTCACTTTAATAAAACACATATTAAATGCAAACTTACTATGTAGCTATGTTCTCTTTCAGCCCCAACTGAAAGAAAGAGGCTTCCAAATGGGAAATAAATGAGCAATGTAAAAGAATGAGAAGCAATGACTGACACATATGTACTGCATCATCAGGAGACAGAGTCTAGGTCCCTAAAGCCATGAAGTCTGGACATGAAGTTTGAAGGAGACATCACTAAAGCAATTTTAAAAAAATCTGTTAAGTAGCTTCAAATAAGCAAATGAAGTTCAAAGTTGAGCCCGTGCTACATCCTCAGCATCCAATACTGAGTTTAGGATCTGATTTTTGCCCCCAAATTCTTGGTCTGATAGGTATCCCTGAAGCTGTTATAGTTCCATCCAAAGGCCATTCTTTCCCAAAGACTGGACGAAATGCCTCTGTTAGTGCTATAGCTTCATTGTCTTTATACATGTGCTAAATGGAGTCCATTAGCTAAGGAGGAAAACAGCTCCCATAAACATTTTAAACAGGAGCTACAAAGCTGATAATAGGGGAAGGTTCAACAGAATGGGTGTAACTGAAACCATTGTGGTCCATGGCTCCTGAAAGCCCATCCCAGGCCCAGTGTAATCCTATAGAATCGGTGGGGCTCTTTAGAATGGACGAGAAAGACCGAGAGTAACTTCAACAGACAGTAGACATGGTTCTATCCAGACTTTGTCTTTGCTCAGCTTCCTGCTGTCACCCTACTTGCTCACATGATTGGTATTTCCTGATCCCAAGCTGCCAGTCTAAAGTTTACGGATGATGTCATGCAGATGACTGTGCTTACCCTATCTACCAAGTCCTAGACATCTTAACCAGGGATGCAACATTGGTCTGACTATGTCACAGACCTGAGTAAGTAAGGAAGTCGTAGGGCTCTTATAAAATTAGGCTATGATTATAAACACTGCCAAGGGTTTGTTAATTGTATGGTGTTACTTTGAATAATTAATAATTATAAATTAACACTAATGTCACCTGATATTTTGTCAGTGTTCAAAATATTATGAGCTTAAAGACTTAACCCAGGCATGGGGTTTTTCTGAATTACAACTCATTTTCCAATTCACATGTTGGAGATTTAACCAGTACATTCAACAATATTTTTGGCATCCTCCGACAGCAGAGAGTACTGCGGCTAAGAGTGCTGACTTAGAGGTAAGAAACAAGGCTTGGAGCATGGCTATTTATCAGCTGTGCAACTTGACAGAATATGTGGCCTCTCCGTGATTCTTCTGTAAATAAAAAGAGTCTTAATAGGCCCTCCCTATTATGGTTGTTAAGAGAATTAAGTGCTTTAAACAAGAAAGAGTCTAGAATAGTGCCTGACACACAGGAAACCCATTTGTTAAATAAATTTCATAAATAAAACTTGCTTGATAGATAGATATTAAATTACTGTTAACACATAGTAGCTAAGATCAAATGAGCTCATTTTACAGACCAAATACTAAAATAAGAGTTTGTTGGATGTTATCTATATCTTGGTCTACTGGGGCTTTTGTAATACAATACGTACACTGGGAATATTATAAATAAAATAAATGTCTTTCACAGAGTTCTCTTTTCAGTTCTGGAGCTGGAAGCCCAGGATCAAAGCACTAGCAGATTCAGTGTCTGGTGAGGGCCTGTTCCACATATACCTACCTTCTAGTGTCCTCACAGGAGTGAATGGATGGGGAGGAATCCCAAGAATCTGTTTTATATGAACCCTACTGACTTTGACACTTCAATACCAGATTAACTTCTAGCAAATGAACTTGGGGTGGGGGGAGATGACATCATACAGACAGTAGAATCCTATTTAACTTCTCTCTAATGGGGAAAGTCTAAGGACCATATTATTATTCTCACAAAGAAACTCAATTTTAGGTAATGTCACTTGTCTATGACTACACAGCCAAGAATGGGATTATGAATGTGAGTATTTAAAAACAGGACTTCTAGCTATACCACATTCTGTTTCTTCAAATAAGTACACATAAGAGCTCTCTTAAACAATCTATAATAACACAAACTCCAAAAGTCATATGGCATCTCTCCTTTAGTTCAGCACCATTAAGTCTTCCGTGACCCAGAATCAAAGAAACATCACAAGAGTGTTTTGGGTATTGTCATCTGAGTCACACAGCATCATCAGAGATCTGGAGGAGCAGGCTGTCTAGGGCAGATTTTCTCTCTGGCGGAGTATTACCAGGCTCAGAGCCCAGTGGCATTTCTTTCTTCTTCTCCAACAGCTCAGGGAGCCTATCGGCTCTGGGTAGGGCTCCCACCTGTTTGATAAAGCACTGTTTTGTGTGTTGCCTTTTTCTGAGAAAAAGCAGTACCAGGAAGTCTGGCAGGGGGCTGGCTCTTGAGCAGCCGGAAGATGAAAACTGTAGTCTGTTCCTCAAAGTAATGGTGTAAAAAGAGGTCTTTGATCATCTAGGCCAATTGCCTCATTTTAACAGAATGGATGTAACTGAAACCAATATGGTCCATGGCTCCTGAAAGCCCATCCCAGGCCCAGTGTAATCCTATAGAGTCTGTGGGGCTCTTTAGAATGGATGAGAAAGACGGAGAGTAACTTCAACAGACAGTAGACATGGTTCTATCCAGACTTTGTCTTTGCTCAGCTTCCTGCTGTCACCCTACTTGCTCACCTTATTGATATTTCCTGATCCCAGAAGTTCCAGAAATTTTATCCATCACCATAAAATACAAGCGGTATTTTTTCTCTTTCAGTAGCATTGAGATTTTCACTGATAGAAGGGTAAAATATAATACTGTATCTTGATTAGTGATTTTAAATATTTACAAAAGGGTGGCTTTTAAAGAGTTGCTATTCCCCCCGCCATATAGGTGAGTAAACTGGGGTACCAAAAATCATGTAAATACAGTTTTGCCATTTCCTAGGTAACATAAGTATTAAATGATAAGGGTAAGATGTAGTGGGGCTGAGCCTGAAGGGGTTCATTTCTTGGTGCACTCCTTGCAAATTGTACGACCCTGAAAAGTCAGTGAACCTCTGCGTATCTTGGTTTTGTTTACCTGTTACATTGGGAGAATAATAACTACTTCACCAGGATGCTATGAGACATTTCTTTTCCCTGAGTTTTTATCCCTTACACGAGATAAGGTCAGTCAAGGCCTGCCTGGAACGCTCTGGTACACAGCAAGCATTCAGAAGAAGTTAGTTTCACTATTCCTTTGAGCCAGCCATAGGCCACAGCCAACGCTTGACAACATTACCTCCTTATGTCTCTTGACTTCCCTTGTTGTTTGTGTCTCCTCTGGAATCTTCTTCATTACAGGGATGAACAGAAGAGTTAGACCCAAATCCCTGCTTTCCAGAAGGTAAGAAGCAAATGATGGCATACTTAAACCTGAAAAAAGGGAGAGGAGTAGTCAGAAGAGATATAGTTTTCAAACAGTAAGAATGGCATCCAGAAATGTGACGTGAAAGACTGAGCTTGTAAGGGAAGATGCTCTGAGTAGCTGTTCTCAGAGTTGTCTCCCCAGAAAGCTTGGTATGGCTTCATGCCACTTCCCGGCAAGCAGGGATGTTTCTTAGCAACCCAGCCAGGAACAGCGTATGCTCTGGGTCGATGTACTAAGGGCTGCTGCTGCAGTCCTGAGAGGGACAAAACCTTCAGTCAAGGCTCCGACCCTAGCGCAGGGAACACCAGCAAGTTGGAATTATCTGGGGAAACAGTCTTCTGACAGGTAAGGTGGAGTAGAAGACAGCGAAGGGAAAATAATCTGTATAAATTCATTGGAAAATATACAGTGCATTTGCTCTTATATTTATTTGCTAAAAATACTGCAAAAAATTTGATATGCTAAGAGAAATTTGCCAAACCCAGGACTTGGAGAGTCAGCTTTATTGAATTTTAATGTGGCAAGTTAGGCCAGCAGGATGGAACTAGTTCCCAGGTCACTCAGGGCACTTCCTCTACAGCTGCAGGTCCTTGATTATCACCTCAAGTATCAATCTCAAAGTATGATCTCAAGAAAATATTGGCCTTGGGAGGGATCAGAGGTGCCAGAATTCAGCTTCATACTCTTTCATTCATTCAGCAGGTCATTTTTGAAGCAAACAGGGTAGAGAAGTCAGCCAGGCTTATTTAAATATGGCACATATTAAGGAAAAGTATATGATATTATCAGAATATACGACATGGATTCCTCACTGGGGTGAGACAGAGAAGAGAAAGTCAGGGAAAGCACCAGAGCACCAAAATGCTTGATAAGCATTTTCAATGACAGACAAGCCAGGTTCAATGAGGAGAGGAAGGAAACATTGTTTCTTGTGAACTGAAGAGCTCCTGTCATGGTCCAGTTCAGCTGGAATTGAGGAAGAGAGAAATAAGGATGGACGGGTGGTGGGAATGAAGAGCAGTTGTAGTAGAAGACAAGAATATTATGTAATCATCTAAGGGAGCATTTTTTTCCTTATATGAAGATTCTAGATAATGTCCTATAAGCACCTGGCAGTCACTGTAGAACTTCAGGCCTGCAGTTGTGTAATTGAATATACTCAAATCTGCTCTATTTTTGTATTCCAACCCTTGATTTTTCTGCCAAGTTCCCTTAACTTTGAGGGAAGGGGAATTTGGAATGTTTTTGGCCGTTTCTCCACACTCTCTCTAATATTTCAAATCACGCTCTTGAAATTGAGCTCACGTTGCATCTGTTTACCTGCCTTTCCCTCTGACTTCCAGTAATAAGATTCTAGTGCTTGGCCTTGGCCACTGCTTTCCATAAGTCATGATGGCCATGCCTAATGCTGTTTGAATGGACTAACTCTCTGCCTCTTGCTGTCATTTTATTTATCCTTCCAACACTAGGAAATACCCCTTGAATAATCATCTTCCATAGCCCACAGCAGCTCTAGCTAGCCCAACTCCTTTCCCTGGAAATGGTTCAATCAAAGAACTTGTCTCATTTCAAGTTCAGGTAAGTTTGGTAATGGCAGAAGAAAATTCACTGGGTCCACCCACCAGTTTGGAATATTGGCTAAGAGCACAAATTTTGGAGTCATCTTTCCTTTACGGCTGCATCAACCCTGAACTGTGTGACCTTTGACAAGTTAGTTCCTCAAATAGAGCCTGCCTTTATTTTTCTTACCTGATAATATTATTGCCTACCTCGAGGGATTGTAATGAAGAGGAAAAGAGACTAGAGAGAGAAAACATCTAAAACATTGCCCTGCACATAGTAAGAGCAAAGTAAACCGCGTTTCCATTCCATCTTCACTCAGAAAGTACATTTGCTTACAATGACTTCCTGAAATTAGAGGATTAGAGTGGTTTTTTACATATAAAGCACCAGGTATATAGTGAAAACAAGATAAAAATAGCTTTTGTTATCATTAACAAAGCAGGCTATCTTGACGGATTATCTGTGTCTTATTTTCTTGTGTATCGGTTCATCATAAATGAACAAGAGGTAGCCATCCATCTTGCTGGTTATTTTCTGGGTATTCACAAGTGCCACTTGCAACATGCAACATTTATCCTGCAAAGATTCTTTTCAGCTTTGGAGAGGCAGCATCTGGAACTTTTTTCTTGTTTTCAGAGCCCACCTTGAAAATAAGTTTCCATGTGGTAGATTAACAAAATGGCTGCATTGTACAACACCATGGGTAGCCTGCTCAACATATTCTAGAAGAATGATAAAATACATGGCAGTAATCATGGATGTATGCGTGGAATTGTGCCTCCTCACGCATTTATTTAAAGTCACAACCCTTAGTATTTCAAAATCAGAATGTATTTAGGGGCAGAGCATTAAACTAGGAGATTAAGATCAAATAAAGTTGTTACAGGTAGCTCTAATGTAATCTAACTGGTGTCCTTTTAGAAATAATGAATATAACACAAAATGTGATATTAAAGATGGATGTCCAGCAAGGTCTGGTGGTGTATGCCTGTAATCCCAGCACTCAAGAGGCTGAGGCAGAAGGATCACTGAGCCTTCAAGGACAGCCTGGGCTACATAGTGAGTTCAAGGCCAGCTTGAACTATCTAGTGAGACCTTGCCTCAAAAATAAAATAAAATAAAATTTCATGTCCAGCAGATAAAAGATATTATGAGGACACAGTAAGAAAATTGGCATGTGCAGACGAGGAGAGTCCTCGGCAGTAACCAAACCTGCAGCACCTCAGTCTTGGACTGCTAGCCTTCCAACGTGTAAGAACATATATCTATTTCTTTAAGACATCCCAACTGAGGTATGTTTTATTCAAAACCTAGGACACTAAGGCAATGACCCATTAAAGGATTAGACTGTAGTCACTGTAAAGGTAAACAGAGGCGAGGTAGAAAGAGGCGAGTGCTTGACCATTTCTTATGAGATGACATGCTGTTTTGGATTTGCGGAAAAAGGGTGAATGGAGACCTGCATCTTGCTTCCATATGAGAACAGGATTGATACAACTACTGTCCTTGGTGTCTTCATAGTATAGATACCCAGTGTGTGACCCTTGGCGCAGTATATAGGTTCTCTTGTGAAGACTCCAAGGTTAATGAGAAAACA